AATCATTCTCCTTTATAAACAGGTTTACGTTTTTCCGCAAACGCTTCAAGTCCCTCCAGGCGGTCTTTCGTTGGTATTACTTGGGCGTAACACACTTCCTCGATGGAGTAACCTGTAGTAAGATCGACTTGAATGCCTTTATCAACGGCCAGCTTAGCCATACGAACACCAATTGGACCGTTTGGTAGGATTTCCTCCGCTAAGCTTACTGCCTTAAGGTATGCAGCATCGCCCGATTTATTTTGAGCAACGACGTGGTTTACAATACCCATTCGCTGGGCGTCGGCGCCTGTGAAAACACGGGCAGTGAAGATTAATTCTTTAGCTAACGCTGGAGATAAAATACGCGGCAATCTTTGCGTACCACCAGCTCCAGGTATGATTGCTAGTTTAGTCTCGACTAAACCCATTTTAGCGTTTTCAGCAGCGGTGCGCATATCACAAGCTAAAGCCATTTCAAAACCGCCACCAAGCGCGGCACCATCCAAAGCTGCAATTACTGGCATGGGAAGTTGCTCAATATTTATTAAAAGTTGCCGCAATTGCGTAACAAATTCACTCACTTCCTTTTCGGACATGCCTTTACGCTCTTTTAAATCGGCACCGGCACAGAATACGCCTGGTGTCAAGCTACGTAAAACAACCACACGAGAACTATTGTCTTTTTTCAAGTCAACCAAAATATCAGAAAATGTATCCACTAAATCTCGGCTAAAGGCATTTTTGGCTTCTGGACGATTGAGGCCTAACACAGTTATTCCACTTTGATTGCCGGCAAGACGTTCTACAAGGATTTCCCTGCCTTCGCTTAGTACGGAGTAACTACGTCGAAAATTAATAAATCGCATGGCAAAGACCGAATACCGTAGTCTATATGAAAACATATTTACTAACAAACTTAATGTTACTGAAAGAGATTTTACTAAACGAATGAACGCTATCAAAATACAAAGAACAAGTGAAAAGTAATTTCATACGATTCACCCTTTGTCAATGAAACAGCTGACATATGACCGCAATTATAGTTAGCATATTTTTCTATTAATCGTCAAATTTACATGCCTACATTTATTATATGATTTTTTCAATATTTTATCCAATATGTTTTATGACTGTTTTGGCATTTATAAAAGAATAACACGCTTTTGCTATCGACGTATCTTAACTTAAACCAGGGATGTTACACACGTCATTACCAAAATGTATTTTACGTGTTAGCCTCTGTATTCTGTAAGTAAATATTTTGTTATTTATTTATGAAATAATAGTTCCTATGTGTTTTGCGTATAATTGTTGTTACGAATTATTCAATTTAGCAGATCCTGTGTAAGGTATAACATTTATGGTAATTAGTTTATCTAAAATTATTTTAATTAGGAAGGATTTTATTTGAGTTGTGGACATAGAATTGCCAGGGTAGAAAATAAAGAAAATTTCTACTGTTTCTATTCGACTAACTGCTCGCTAGGTTTGTGTCCAAAAATTGTTGAAAAATCAAATTTTATTTATTTTCATTTTTGATAAATTCGTGCTTTTTCTACAATCTTTTTAAAAGATTTAAGCAAAAAACTTACTTCTCCGCTTGGTGACTAAGTGACTTAAGACAAAAACGTGGTAATACATACTTTGATTAAAATCACGTATACGATGTAATAGCATATAATTTTATTGAAAATGGAATTTTCAAAACTTTGGAAAATGTCAGAAAAATCGGTTGCTGATTTTCTGAATAGCAGAACAAGAAGAAGATCAACAACAGAAATTAAAAAAAAAAATGCTTTCCTTAAAGTGTAAAAATTGCCCTATGAGTAAACGTTGAATAGAATTAGATCCCAAATCTGGAGTATATCAAAAGATATCTTATTGACCTTTAATTATAAGTGCAGTAGCGGAGGCTGAAAAGTATGCTGGCAAGTATAACTTTTTATTGAAAGCAAGTGTTGAAATGGAAAAACGAACAGTTTGTCCGAGTGTCCGAACAGTGCTCGAGCTGAAAATTTCACGCGTTAATTATGTCTACTTTCCAAGATTTACTTATACAAATTCAAGTGGTATTTATATCGAATCGCATAAGTCAAAGAAGAGAAATTCCCACATAAAACATCCGAAGTTCGAATTGAGGAGTTTCTAAGCGAAGAACTAAACTATGGAAAATATAAGTATAGTATTTTTTTTTTTAAATCTGCTTGCGGCTAGTTGAGCTGAGTCAAAGATCCATCTTCTCGTTTGGGAGACGAAATATCAAGTAACAAATTTTGTATGAGAAGGTCATTGACCAGATGGGTGCACCATACTTATTATGAAATGCTGCGTAGGGGTGTTTTTCGAGCGAAACGCTTGTTTAGTGGAAAGGAATTGAATGTATGGCTTCATCAGCTTGATCTTAAACCACGACAAGCCGCGGTGACTGAGAAAGAGAAGTTTACTTTGGAACGAATTTTGTAACTTTTTGTAACGCATTTTATATTTAAAACGATCGCAATCATTCGGAGGTAACGATTTACGTGGGCGAGGCAATTTAATTAAACTTGCCCTTTCTTTTTTAAAATATGGCAAATCTCTCAAGGGATGCGCCTGCAGGTGTAACAGGATGATGGCAGAAAGCGGTGTGAAGAGAGACAGAGTGGATGTTTGCCCAATCGGGTAAGTGTAACGACTTTTCCGACTGAGCACTCACCTCTGGTTACGTCCAAGTCTGATTTATCTCACAGAGATTTGGATCCGCCAGCACCGACTTGCAATGCCTATTGGCTTGGCTGTGTGACAGCTTATTTCGTAGCAATCTTCTGGTATCTTGCTTTGCGTTTATTATCGTGGTTTACCGTGTAAATGAAACCATAACTTTTCTCACGTGTATTCACAAGTGTTAAAATGTATAAAAGACCAAATTAATGACTTGAATTTCTAAAAGCTAGAATTTTTTTTTCTTTCTCTGCTTCTGTCTCTTCACAAAGAATAGAAACTACTTCACCGTATAGGTGAGCATAATTATGTCAAATTGATTAACTCAGGCAGATGGTTGAAAATTAAAAACACAGAAAAAATCTTCCTTATAAAAGACGTCTGTCTTTCTTTTCTGGATGGGATGGTAGCTAACTCTATTACTCATTTTGTTAGTTTACATTTATTTTCTTCTTCTAAGACCTTTGATAATATTCGGCGCCAGTTATTTATTATCTTTCACGAAGAAGAGTGTAATTATTACGGATGCACCCACCTTCATCCTCTCTCCCACCTTTCGTTTCGGATGATAACACAACATTTCGAATACGAGATTCATTAAAAAATTTCTTTAAAAGGTAGGCGAGCAGTTTCCAAAGGAAGGTATTGTTAAGGAAAGGAAAAATAATCCTGCTTTCTTTCGTAGAGAAAGAGGAGAAAACAAAAACAACAAATTAGTAAGAAGTTGTTCGTTTCTTCTTCTCGCAGGCCATAACAAAAACAAGTAAGTGAAAGACTTAAGCAATAAACTCAATTTGCCTCAACTTGCATTCTTTTCTCTCTCCCTCTCTCTATCGATTGCTCTTTCTCGCTCTTATACTCCATTAGATCTAGAAATAATTATTAATTAGAATTGGAAAACAAATGTAAGTTTTTGGCGTGACAAGTAACAAGTTGTAATATGCTTAAGGGAAAATTCATTAAAATGTCGTTTTAATAAAAAATAATATATTTTTATTTTTTTTTTCAATTCATTTTTTGCAAAGCGCAGAAGGCGATCTAATGAAGTTTATTGCAATTAAAATGCAAAAATTAATGAAATGAAATCGATATTTTTTATTGCGACATGATTGTTTGTATGTTTGTCGGCCAGCGAACAGCGTACAGCGTACAGCGTACAGCGAACAGCGAATGTGACAATGTTTGTATATGCTTTTTGCTGATAAGAATGTTCGGGATGACATTTTGCGCAAATACCCAATGATTTATATCTGTTTTGTAAATAAATAATTATTATTTTATTTTATTATAAAACACACTCTTACCATATTTTGTTAAGAAATGTTTTCATTATTATTATTACTTTTTTTTTTTTTTTTTTTTTTTTAATAAATAAATTGGATTTAATTTTATTTATTTATTTATTTAGCTATTTTGTTTATTTATTTATTTTTTTTGCCTTTTTTAAAATTTTTAATAAAGTTACAAACCTAATTGAAATGCTATTTTGATTTATTTGTTTTTATATGTATGCAAAATGTTTACAGAGCCGACTGTTTGGCTTTGCCTGGTCGATCGTTTTTTAACGGCTTGGCTTTTTATTTATGTACATACGTTACGAACATATGAAACTTTAATCTAAGTAAACTTAACAAGCCACTCTTAGTGATTAGATCGATTAAAGTTGGCGGCTAACAAATAGCCCCACATTCAAATTCAAATTGATGAACAAGCACTTATATGCATATGCATATGCATTTATTTTACATTACTTACGGATATATATGGTGTATATGCAGATATAATGCTGCAATCAAAGAGCAATTGAAACGATTCAAATGTCATGATTAATGTATGCAACGTACATATAACATAACGATACCAACACCCAATGAAATAAGTAATTTGTACAATTATTTCATTCGTATTTAAGAGAATAAGTGCATGCTATTCATCATTAAAATTCATTTGTTCGAGGCGCATTTACGCTTGCGGCCATTACAGGCAAGGTTCCTTTTAATTATTTCTAATAGGTAATCAGTAATCGCTCATTGCTTCACCCTCACCCCCGTTCGGTCCCTCTGTCATAATACAATTAAATGCATTCACACATTTTTACTCTTTACTTTATTTATTTATTTTTTTTGTGGCCTTTGCCAGGACACACAAGCATTACTATGTTAATTATGTCTCTCGCGGAAGAACAATTATAAACAAAGATATCATAAAAGGAAGTTCTCGTCTTATGGTTTCACCTGCCACGCAGTAAATGATTTTTGAATTGGATTTCAAATACTTATAAACCCGAAAAGAGTTGTGGGTAATTTTTTCCAACTCTATTGTTCTTGAGATCAAAATCTTAACCGTAAGAGCGACTCCAAATAGATGAGCTCTGCTTTTATTCCTTTTCTATGACCAATCGTTCAGGGGATGTCCTCTATACATGTGGAGTATATGGCTCTTTGTCAATCTTCTTCTTCATTGCATTCATCTGGGGAGGCATATCACCAAAGAGACTTACCTGACTACTCAGTCTGACAAGATTTTTTGCTGAAAGGCATTATATTAGATTTCTTTTCAATGATATGGAGCATCTATGTCGTCATGAATAGTTTTGTTGCAAACGTACGACGGTGTCTTAACAACATAGTGAAGAGTATTAGATTGATATTTTGGAAGAGTATTCGGTAGTCCGGTAAATCTATTTGGACCTATGCCATGCATTTGTGGAGTGCTTGGCCAATGGCTGAATAATCCGTCATGCTGTCTACCGGCTCTAAGCACTCACTATAGCTTCGACCAAGTATATTCCAATTGTATTCAGGTTTGCATACGCAAGCAGCCACTTGGCAGTCGCGACTCTTATGTACTCGACTATGCGGCAGATCATGAGTTGCGTGATTCGCATTGACCGGTAATTTTTTGCACGAACAACCATCGCCGCACCAAGTGTGTATAGTCTTTAATATTAGTTGGACTGCTCTGTGTCCTCTTCACAAGAATACGCGGCATCAATTCATTAATCATCTTTCATGGAGATGTGCAGTGCAGTTGCTTTTCTGATTATGCAAGTAGCATTCTATTAATTGAACACTTGCCGGGAAAATGGGTTTCATTTTATTTTTAATTTTTAAAAACTTTGGTTGGTGTTCTTGTAATGTAAGTAAAAATACTTCATAGGTCAGCGATTTTTTTTCTGTCGCTCTACTGAGAAAAGCATATGTAACTCAGGACACATTTCTTTTACCTCATAGCGTGGAGTCGCTGCAGTCACCGCTCATGCGTA